AATCAATAAAGGTGCGAAAACGAGCAATACATTTAGTAGGTTGCCTTTGTTCGAGAAAGGGCTGGTTCCATGTGTAACTCTCGCGCAAAATAAACAAAGGCACGAAGTACTAGAAAAGGGCAGAAATGGAAAAATTCATTGTGATAGCTCTAGCGGGTTCTATCCAAGTCATTTCTAAGGAAACGTGTTGATCCTATTCGAATTTTCGATCACAAGATTTCGTTTGTGTCTCCCTTCTCAGTGTATGATCAAGTGTGATGCCCGCTGTTCACTTGGAAGTTCACGGCACAAGCAGGCAAAGCCCTATTTCCATGACAACTACAGATATCAGCAGAGTCATTTCTTTCAGCACTTTTGCGCCTGCGATTCACTCGGGAGGAAAGCTGAGTCATAAAATTTCTACGAAGTCGGCTTTGAAAGTAATTAACGTTATGAGAACGGCTAGATAGGGGGCTGCTGAATTTTAACGTTATGAGGAACGACTAGAGAGGGAGCTGCTGAATTTGGAGGAAGGTAGACCTAAAAGAGGAAGACCTAGTAATGGTACCACTTTGTTGGATTAGCTGGAGAAGAGCCTAATGGACTCGAGAGACGCCTTTAGTTTGAGCCAAGGCAGCAGCTTGCCATTGCACAGAACAGCTGAGGCATTCCTCTATCGTGTCTCGTTTAAGACCTCTTGAACCCTCCCGTCTACGTGAAGGAAGCCTTTGCGCCAGGTGGTTGGAACGATCCCGAGGTAAACGTTTCTATTGCGGACTGGTACCGTGGGTGAAATCAGTAACATCCTACAACTGTGGAATAATGAGAGGCTTAGGGGGATCACAGAATGATGAGCACTTTATTAACACGGATGAAGGTGCCCAATAAATTGTCAGCGCCAACGTGGGCTGAAAATGGGAGAGCACGTGGCCGATACGAACAACAAACAGAGACACACGCTCACACGCACGCACGCATATACACACAGGGTGTCTGTGAGGCAAGACACAAGCCGTCGTCGTCGGGTGTGGGCTGACTATCGATCGTCAGCAGCCTCGGCATGCTGTGTGTGAGCCGCCTGCATTGCCGTCCGAGAAAACAAATGCAACACTCGCGAGGTTGCGTTCTCACGGGCGCACTACCGCACTACATGCGAAAACAGGCGGGCTCCATCGATCCCCCCGTCGGCGATGTCCGATTGGGAAAAGGAACTCTTCTCAAGACCAAGCGCTCCTCACAAGGTATGCTTGCATAGGAACGAAAACGAGTAAAAATCCAAGATAGGGAGGGAAAATGACACATTACCACTAAAATGCCAGACAAATCTGGTTATTGCTACCTTCTTAACTCGATTTATCTTAAAGTTTCTCTACAATCATTGCAAGTTTCCTCTGTGAATCCTATTTTCGGCATATCGAGGCATGACAACAGGAGAGGGGCCGTGAACATGCAGTCACTTAGTTTCGGAACGAGTCACATCGGGACTTCAGAAAGAAAAAGCTTAAAATCAGGTTCCATCGTCAGACACACGAATTTTAAGAAAATCTTGAGACATTTCTATTTCACGAACAATCTGAAAGAGAGCGAAAGAAATGGATGAAAGATGGGCTGCAATTTTGTCTGCAATAACCTCGCCCTCAAGCCTTCTCTCAACAACATGGTTGAAAAGCTTGGTTTCTGATGAAATCCTACTGCTCTGTCGCACCTACAAAGGTATCGACACCAAGATTCGATCAGAGCTGTTCAAACCAAACCATGCCCCTCATTAACAACTTCTCAAGACAGGCACAGTAAGGGCCCAAGTAGGGTAATCTCGGCGAAAAATCTCACCGAAAGGTAACCTACATGCTCAAGCGTGCTGAAATGCCATCATTACAAGGCCCCGAAAAAGGACAGTCATAGTCTATGCCCTTTCCTTCCTCTCGCTTGTTTCTTCAGCTTGCAGACCATCATCGCGGTCTTTTGTTCACAGTGATAAAGGTGCTGTGAACAAACCGGTAGAGGGGGAGGGACCTGTTTGTTGAAATTGTTGCGAAATTTTTGATTTTCTAGTACTACTACTTTTTTTTCAACAAGAAGACACGGTCTCCTTCTGGAATGATTCGCCGACTTCGTTTGAACGGCGTTTGTGTACTGTGTGTGTATGTGTGGGTTACATGTGGGCGTGTGTCGTCGGAGCATGTGCTTGGAAGGGAACTAATAAGACTTGTTCCCCTGCACCTAGACTCCTCGAGTATAGAAGAATGCAGGAGGCAGAATGAGAACGCCCAGGGCAAATGATAGGAAGAGCACCTACTCCGATTACAACTGAAAGAGCCTGATTATAAACTTCAGAAGCCTTCCTTGGTAATTGCTCATTTCGCGATAACAATGGTTTTGAGGCCTAGATAGAGCTCAAGGGAAATACAGCGGTGTCCCAGCTCAAGAGCACGATAGCGGCTCAGTCGTAATCGAGTAGAAGCAACTTGAGTAATCTGAATAGATATTCCCCATATTCCAAGTACAGAGCTGACGCGAATGCCATTCAAATGATCCTTTGTGAATTGGATTTCGCCCTAATTACATCCAGTCTTGAGCGGATTAATTGACGTACAACATATGCAAGGGATAGATTAATATGCTATAGTTGTCGTAACGCAAAAAACGCGTCCTGAAGAGCTCCATTCATTTCTTCTTCTGGTCATACGTACCCTAATAAACTAAAATAACCCCGTAAGAAGCATGGAGCTACCTGTTCTTCCAATTCGATGAGTATAATCTTCAATGGACTTTGCCATATCGTAATTCAACACTAATGAGACGTCCTTGATATCAATTCCTAAAGAAATGAAAAATGATAAAACGGATATTATTACACAAAGATTGGGATGCATGACCACTACAAGTATTAACCAGGCAACTTTATGGCTCCTTGCCAATAGGTGCACACGTTATATAACGGCATTTTCCTTCTTACCTCTTCCCGCAACATCAGTCGCAACGAGGATATCCTTGGTTTTATCTTTGAGTGCCTGCAGAGCATATTCTCTCGTTTCCTGTCCTTTACCACCATGAAGAACGACTGGATTGAAGTTCAATTTACTGAGACCTTTTGCTAGAAGATCAGCACCCTAAAATCGAAAATGTGGAAAACACTGTAACGTTGCATCGAATGAGGGATTCCACACCAGTAGAACAATTTTTCATTACCTTCTTCTGATTAACGAAAATGATGATAGGCGGTTCGAAATGCTGCTCCAATACTTCAACAAGTTTCTTCTTCTTTCTGTCTTCTGACAACATGTAGACAATCTGAAAATCACTTGTTCAGTCTTTTCAGTCTTAGTACCTTGTTTTCAGAAAGGTACACTATGAACACCATTTAACTGAAAGGCTACCTGTTCCACTCGTTCCGTGGGACGTCCAGCTGATCCAATGTGTACAACTGCGGGACGCCGCAAATAGGCTCTCGCCAAGCGTTCGATAGCTGGAGACATAGTTGCGGTGAACATCACTGTCTCAAAAACACAATTCGGTCGTCATGATGTGTGTAGTAAGGGCAAAAAAATTAACTTCTGATAGCCGATCATTTTCATCGGGCGAGGAAATGAAGATAAAAAGGAGAGCAGAATGACAACAGCACTTCTAACTTTGGCATTAATTTGTTGATTGTCACAAATTATTTTACGTAAGTTACTAGAATGGGACGCAATTCATCCAGAATAGCGACGTCTGGAAGATTATTCGATCGGTCCTTCAGTACGCAGACCTTCATTTCTTTTTAATTTTCCAGATGCTTTTGATGCGATGAAACCATTCATTCTCAAGTGCCAAAAAATCTCTGTGGGCTGAATCATACGATCTCAACGATGAATTACAAAAGAGTACCCATGGCGCATTGTATCTGTAGGTAGATGACCTTATGGACGATAGAGAGAGACGCTTTGAAAACAAAAAGATGCCCATAGAATGAAAGAACTTCATCATTGATAGCGCCAGCAGTGAAATCATAAAAGACCCACTTTTTCGTCAAATGAAAGTAGAAAAGAAATATAACAAAAAAATTTTGATGGGTAGCAAACGAACCTGACGATATTTCTCTCTTGTGGCAAAATTATTCATAAGTGCTTCCTCATGTTCAATATCATCAGTGTCAGGTTTCTGATTAGACACTGGCAAATAACTCAACACCTGAAAAGAATAAATAGCACGACAATATCAGAAAAACATTACGATTGAACTGGGAACCAACTAGAATTACGCAAGGATCAATGCAAATGAAGAATAGCGCAAGGGATCACTGCTTTGCGTAATAATTTTTAAGGAATATACCGTACTTTTTGCACTTCAGGCTCGAATCCCATATCCAACATACGATCGGCCTCATCAAGAATGACATAAGAGCACTGGTTGAGAAGCAGGTATCGGTTCTCTAAAACGTCCAAAAGACGACCGGGTGTGGCAATGACAACCTGAAAAGATCTAGGGGTCGTATGAGATCAATCATATGTTCAAGAAGAAAATCGAATGGAAATGTTTCATTCAAGCTCAGCCAGATACTGCACCTACTTCGACTCCCATGCGCAGTTTCATCCCTTGGTCTTCGCGAGAGGCACCTCCTATTACAGACACAGTTCGGATTTTTAGCAGCTCACCGAACTTGTTAGTTTCTTCCTCGATCTAAATTTCGAGAACTTTGAAACACTCGGTAAATCAGTGATTTCTGTATCAACAAAAATGAAACATAAATATCAATGAGTTGAAATCATCGGATTGAAAACGACGAATTCTTACTTGTTGTGCCAATTCTCTTGTAGGTGCGAGAATCACAGCGTAGGGACCCTGATCATAATGCTCCTGACGGTCGAGCTTCGGCAAGCCCGTTATCCATACCTGAATAGCCTTTCATTCACCAACAAATGGCGATCCAGAACAACACAGTTTCCAAAAATCGCTCTCTAATTCGACAAGAAATCGACAATTTTAGTCAGTCAGAATAGTTTGACTAATGAAATTCAAGCCTCTATAAACGATCTAACTTCATGATCCGGATCTGCTGTTGCGCAAATCAACCGGGAGATTAGCCTTCAACATAACCTATTTCGGCCTACATTTCAATCCTATCTATTTGTGCTGTGTACACTTTCGCTACAACACGAGTCGCACTGTCAAGGCCAGACAGTCACGGCTATCAACTATAGCAGTCAGCTCTAGGAAGTCACTCATGCATCGGAGAAAAAGCGACCAACAAGGGCTTTCGCCCATATTATTCATGATAGCGCTCGACATCCCGTCACAAAGACCACACAGGATAGGTTACAGGAACTTGGCTGGAAGGCCGTTCCCCACTCGCTCAATCCACTGACTTCGTCTCTTTTGACTATCACCTTTTACGAATCTCAAGCGGTTCCTGGCCAAGAACAAGTTCGAGAAATCCGGTGGCTTCAAAAAGGTGAGGCTAACTTCATATTCACCTTGGACTTACCAAGATCATATTCTCAGTGCTCAGTTAGTAGATTAATTGTTGTTCGCGTGTCAATCTACATCTCTATCAACCAGTTGCTAATGGAAATCTCTGAATATTCCGTAGGTGATGACTCCTATTATTTCCCGTTACAGGGACCAGGCTGTAAAGCTTTCATTCACTTGTCCACGTTGGTGGCAGATTATAATTTCAAAACTGGACAACCCCCTAGCAGCATTTTTTACTTTTTGCAAGATCTGGATGTCCCCTATCCGCGAATTCAGATTTTTCAGACGAAAAAGGCAGCGGCATAATATAAAATGTCCGACAGGGGAAAGTCAAAGAAACGACGTTGTACAAGAGATATCAACTTCACAGGGCAGTAATAATGAGAGTACGAGAGCGCAGTCATTAGGAAAAGTCCGATGTCAAAAAAGCAGCACTTGGAACCAGCCACTGCGTTGTCCAGGAAATAGTTACCATTTTCAAAACGATTTTTTCAAACGCTTGTTTTGGAAGTGCTCAGAAGTTCAAAATTGTTGTGACCCATGTAAAAACTTACTGAAGACAATCTCACCATTGTGAATAGTTGACAAGGATATCAAAAAGCATGGACTAGTAGAAAAGCCAGGAATTCAGGTCTCACAAAAGTTGAGGAGAAGAAACTTGACACCGCGAGATAGTGTCTGCGATGTGCGCTTCAAAGGTATGAACACCATTCATTTACGAAAGCGGCTGTTGATAAAAGTTGGAATGCCTACGATAATGTACACACAAACGATTACGGCCAATACCCGATGAACCTGCTCAAACGAAGTCCAAAGCCGATTTTGATAAAAAGAAGGTCCCGCTATCCCGTTTGGTGGGATTGCAGAGGTGAGGGATAGTTTGAGGTGTACGTGAAGGAACATAATATTAACCTAGGGAACAACTTAATAAAGAGAATTTGGCAGAGCAATTGAAGAAGCTCTCAAGAGATAGCGAGTCATAAAGGAGTAGTTATACTACGACGAGATCCCATCCACCTCTGGTGACTTTGCAAAAATTATAGAAGTCTAGTTGGGCAATTAATGCTGCATCCTTCATATCGGCCTGATCCTCATAGGGGATCCAGTATTGAAACTGACCGCGGAAAACTGCAAAACCTTTCAAAGATTTCAAATTAACACCGACGAGGTTATCTTGGACTCGAAACATTTCTTGTGGACTCCAGTATATTGGAGAGTTCTAATATCGAATAAGTAAGAAATCTTAGAGCTTTCCGAGTGAAGTGAAAAAAATTCTTCTATTGCTCTTCTCACAATCAAATTATATCGTAATCTGACTAACCAGTAATGGTATCAAAAATGCTGCAGTTTTTCCAGAACCTGTTTCGGCCACCCCAATGACATCTCGATTCTGTAAACCAATGGGAATGGCCTGCCTTTGAATTGGAGTTGGCTCCTTATATCCAACCTAAAAAGGTTGTTGTGTTGGAAGCGAGATGAGAAGAAGTTACAAAAGTGGCTTACTTTCTGTATGGCCTGATACACTTCTTCGGGTAGTCCGCACTCTTCCCAAGCTCGTAACGGTTTCGGTACACGACCACCCTGAACAGTGGGTAAAATTTCAAATATTGCTTGATCACAGAAGACAATTGGACATTTCGGAAGGCCACCTTGATAGCAATATTGAAATCTTCACGAAAGATACGCCAGTCTCTCTCAGTCATTTCGTCGAGCGGCTTCATTTTCCAATGACGATCATCATGAGCAGACTTCCTTTCTCTTATTTTCTCCTTTTCACGACTTAAACAAGACTGCGATATTGCAAAGCAGCGAAATGAAACTGTCAATTTAATTTACCGAGCCTTCTCCATTTGTTTTTCCTCTTCCGTTCTACGTTTTTCCATGATAGCCTGATAGAATACGTTATTTGTCTTTTTCTGAGCATTCACATCAATACCCGCTATGGCTCCTCGTCCGAAGAATTGCACCTGAAGAGTGGTATAAATGGAAGCGGGGAGGGAAGCTCGTGATAAAGCACACGTTTCATTTTTCACACTGACCTCATGTCTCTTCTGATACAACTTGTTGTAGTCTTGCGAGGTGTCTTCCGATGCGTCCCAATCGAACACAAACTTACGTTCATGGAGGCGCCTTCCTCTTTTTTTCTTCTCTTTTTGCAAACCAAGATACCGGACTTTTACTGCTTCTTGAAGTTTGTTTGGATCAAATGTGTCGTCTTCCTCCTGTATCAAAAACTCTTATAAAACACACAGACATGCTGAAGGATCCTTACCTTGCTCTCAGTACGGTTGGTACGGGCTCCATCTTTATCACGATCGCCTCTTCTTTCCTTACTTCTACTACGATCCCGTCGATCTCTATCCCTTTCTTTGCTCCTACTTCTTCCTCTCCTATCTCTGTCTCGCTCTCTGCTACGACTCCTTTCACGTTTTTCTCGCTCTCTACGCTCTCGGGATCGACTGCGTTCTCTTCGTTCCCTGCTACGATCACGGTTTCTGTCGTGATCACGTCCATCGCGTCCCTCTTAATGAACAGAGTTTTTGCGTAATTACCGGTTATCGTAAAGAAATAATCTCACCAGCTCTCTTTGCTTCAGCTTCAAATTGTCTACGGCTTTCATCAAGCCGCCTTTGGTTCTCTTTTATACGCTCTACCTGCTCGGCACGTCGTTGAAGAGCAAGGGCTGCACGTTCTTCTCTTGTAAGAAACTTCGGCTGAAATAGAAAAACCTAGTAGACATATCTAAGTTTCATCTCCATATGTTTACAATGTCTCCACCTCACTTGATGATAGTTCGCAGCACAAGGCAATTTCCCCTCGCAGAGTAGAAATGTTTCCAGCTATTGTGTAATAGTTTACGAACGTAGAATGCGAGTTTACCCAATAAACTCATTCAAGTAAATATTCAAAATGGAACCGCCAAATTGTCTAGACACTACATCATTTTCTTTTTACATGCCAATTTCGAAAGCAAACAATTTGGACAAAGGGTGTTGGAATGAGAAAAATACTAATTAAGGACACTACTTTCATATTCCAACTACCATAATCTGAAACTATTAGGGTGTCCCAAAAGTTATGAGAAAATTTTGGTCATGTATTTCGCAACCATGCTGCGCAAGAAAGCGCCGAGGCAGAGCCACGGAGAGGATTAAGAGGTCACGCTTAGCAGATCATCATAACAAGAGAACAATATTGCACTTTATCTTTGGAAGTGAGTTATCAACATTTGAATTATTTTCGACTGACACAACTACAGGCGCCTTCTACTTCATTACTACCGATCTGGTCACTCCGCCATTCAAGCCCGTAATGGGCTACGTTCGTCGATGGGCAGCAGTGCGCCCTCCCTTTCCACCTGCTATAGGTGGTACGCTCGCTTCTCTAGAGGAGAGATTTCCCTCGACGATGCTCCTCGTAGAGGACGCCCACGCTCCTCAAAAACCGACATTGTTCTAGCTTCCGCTCGAAGCCATCCCTCTCAAAGCCTAAGGGGAATGGAAAGGACGACTGCTACTCCTCGTTCCACTATCCATAGGATTCTGCGCCGAAGTCTCCTTCGTGCAGCGCTCCCTGGAGTAATTCCCCACTCCCTTACTGAACATGAGCGTCGAGTGCGAGTCGATGTCTGCCAGAAACTTCTCAGCCGTAAGCGAACGACGACCTGGACGGAATTCATCATCGCTCAGGATGAAAAGTGGATATCTTACTATATATAAACCGCAAACGTCCGTTTGTCTGTATGTCTGTTTGTCCTTCCGAAAGTCACGTAGGCACGATGTAGATGTAAATATCACGTGAGCGCGTTGAGGAAACAGTTATGAAATGGGAAGTCAACCGACACTATTGTTGGTACTCTAATAAATCGTAGGTAAGCGATAGTGAGTATAAGGTGCACGCGTTAGCATGCGTGCGTGAGCAACTGGTCTCATGAAAATCCACATAGGAAGTTGCAGTGGCTACCAGCGGACGTGAAGCCTCAACCCGTGCCAAAGCGTGGTGCCCACGCCAAGAAGGAGATGACATCATTTTTCTTCTGCTCCCACTGGCTGCATATACTACGAGATCTTACCTGAGGGTACTGCGGTGACGGCAAGAGTATTCTGTAAGCAACTGCGAGAGATGGTGTCTCGAGCCCCCAGTTCACACCGACTACAAGGAAAGTTTGTAATTGTGATGGACAATGCTCGACCACACCATGCGAGGACCACGACGGAGGAGCTGAAAAGACTTGGGATCACCTGGCTACCCCACCCCCCATATTCACCTGATCTTAGTCCTTGTGACTACCATGCTTTCAGAGGCCTGGAGGCCTACACGAAAGGGAAAAAATTCAACAATCGTCAGAAGGTCAAACATGCAGTGGATGAATGGATCGCTTCACGCCCTTCTTCTTTCTGGATGAATGGAATCAGTGCTCTGCACAGTCGATGGAGGGACGTCGTGGCTAAAGAGGGCCACTATCTCGATTACTGATCTCACCTTTTTGTTGTAGTATTTTTGTGTTGAACAAACCAAATAAATTTTCTCAAAACTTTTGGGACACCCTAATAGCTTAGGACGTTGTTCGTTAGGGTGCGAGCTGTTTTCGTGACCATTCATCCGAATATAATCATCAGATAGAAAAAAGTAGCTCTTCGTTTGGATGTATTTTCAGACAACAAGCAGATCTTTTGAGAAAGACCAAACTAATGGAAAAGAACAGCGAAGAGAAGGCATTGTAAAGTCTTATTCATGCGATGAATGTCTCCCATTCCACATAATGTTGTCTCTATGCATATTACTAATGTAGATCACTAAACAATACTATGTCTTTTTCTTTGCATTTAAAAACCTAACGAACAGTCGCCTCATGAGCAGTTGCTCAATCGCCAATATAATAATAGCAGCGTTTTAGGAGTCAAAAACAGCGGGACAAAAAATATCTCCGAAGTAGCAGTCAGTAAATTTAGAAACTTTATGACTCTAGTTCAATAAAAATAGTACAGAGGATTATAGGGCTACAAAAACAGCACAGAAGGGGTATTTGGACGAGCTGTTTGAATATGTGCGCGATTGCAGACAGCTGGCTTCGGTAAGCTGCCTGCACGCAACGTTTGGGTTGCGTTGCGAATGGTGCAACCTGTACAGCTTCTACAACGCCATGAAACCTCGTTCGTGATGGGCGTGTACGTGGTGGGGCCGGTTTTAAGGGCCCTTTCTACGCCCACGTCCGTTTTCTAATAAGACAACGTCCCTTGTGATAACCTAGGGGGTCAGGGGTTCATCACAGGGAGAAATGACAGAAACCATTTCAATCGCAAAGTGTGCCTTTGGGAACGATAACTGATTAGGATCTGCAAAAATTGCAAACACAAAAAACAGTGTGTCTGACCAGACGAAAACCATAAAAAAATTAGCTTGATTGGTGCAGCGTCAGTGTGGCAACCTCTGACCGAACGAACAGTTTCCAATAAAACCCACTACATAGTCGCATCCATCTCCTACCAATGTCCGTCCAGAAATCCCGGCTCAACACGTTGTACGTGTGAGTGCTGATAAGCTATGGCATATAAGCCATTAAGAAGGTGAGGGCAAGCGAGGTCTCGGTAGTGTAAGGGATAAGAGCACGGTCCCCGGAAAGGACAAGTGCCGGTTCGAGTCCCGCCCGAGACTGAAGTTTTGTCCATAAATCGCCATCCTTGTGAGACTTTCGCATCGCGTACTGCGGCGATATAACAGCAGTTAACAAAACATCAAGTCAAAATAATAACACTGGTTCCACACCCCTGAAAATCGTCAAAAATGGAGGGAAGCGTGTGCTCGCCGCTGAGGATTATCAGCTGACAACGAGCGCCCAAGTAACACAAGTAAATAATTGTAGTTATACCAGTAGTGGTAACCATAACATTAGCATTATTACTGCTTCAATTCTGAATTGCAACAGCCATTAACCAGGCACACTATGTAGACCAATGACATCTACGAATCGTATATTTCTCTTCTATTATATGAATCACCAATTCTATAGGTGGATTTGTCGGTGGGTAAGTTGTAAGCTACCCGCCCGCAAAATTCACTATTCAGAAAATGATATGAAGAACTCAGTGCTGTCAAGATCAAGAAGATTCCGCAGAGACATACACTAGCGCTCAAAAGTTTTCGGTGAAATGCTTTGACGCTTTTTCGTTCATAACTTTTTTCGTAGTAGACCAAATCGCGCGAAATTTGGATATGTTTAACTAGAGCATATTTCACCCTACCCAACACTATTTGACTGCGAAGCTGCAACATCCACAGATAGAGCAAAGTGTTTGTTGCGGTAGCAAATTTTGCTAAAAGAAAAGTTATTGACGTCTGCACTTTCTCGCGCCTTATATGCGTTTTTCTCATCAATTGTGTTCGGCATTACCGCTCGTACACTTTTGGCATGACATAAAGGAAAGAGATTCTAGATTCATCATCTGTATTTTCAGTCGATTTTGAGTTCATGCTCTTCGGAATATCTGGAACATGATCAAATTGCAGGTTAATAGTGGCAAATATTCACAATACACCCACGCTTCAAATATAGAAATTTCGCATGATTAGGTCCAGCAGGAAAGAAGTTACGACTGAAAAGTAAGGCTGAAGAACCATTTCACCGAAGACTTTTGAGCGCTACTGTATGTGACACCTAACATGTCTAGTTATTGTATGACTGAGGGCATTCCTCATTGGCTTGGCCTCATTTACCATTCAGGATTCAGGATCAAGTTCAAAGAAAAGGAAGTACAATTTGGAGTTTAATGAGACAAAAGCTAAGTTAGCGCCGAATCTCGGCAGCTCCAGTGCTCACCTTTTCTTGATCTTCTTCCTCTTTTCGCTTTTTCGCTAATATATCTTCCAATGATGGAGGCTCAGCCATGACTACCAGAATTGTTAACTAATTAGACGACTCGGAATGAAAAAAAATGGAACCTACACACACAATATGCACAGACAAGTCTAGGGGATTGCCAGTAGAAAGAAAATTAGAAATTCGCGAGTGAAGGCGTAACTTTATTAATAGCAAACAAAACCAAATCAACAATTACAATGAACAGATTGATTGCAACTTTTCTGAATGCAAAAAAAGGTTGTTAAGCGGGCATAATCACACCAAGAAGTAATGCCTTCGATTTATCAAAACGTATGTCACTCTTGTTGATTTGTCTTCAAATTGGTCATGCCAGCGCGCATAACTTCATCAACTAGCAACAGATTACATGCGATGACGCAAGAGGACGACAAACTGTTCTTCTTTACGACGACGTTGTCCCAAATGCCCTAAAAACGACTATTTTTTTAGACCTGATGGGATCGAAGAAAAATAAATTCTACAAAAATTTGCCAATTGATTCATTTCAGATAAATCATGTTAGGCAATACGCTCAGATTGGAGGTTTCTTCCTAAAAAGCAGCTTACAGGACTAGAATAACGCTTAGAAATATCTGCAAGAAAGCAAGATCGCCTGGAGAAGAGGATGAACCTAAACAAAATTGAAGGAAAGACGTTCAGACAAGAGTTGGTTTGCGAATGGACGACTTGAAGTAGTATAGTGATTTTTAATGGGTTCCCATCTCACAACTCTTTCTCAACTCTTCAAAGAACTAAAGCTCCAGCTACCTCCTGGAATATACAGTACCGGTCAGTGAAGTATTCGTTTTCACTTTTTCAAACGTAACTTCCTCAAATATCCATCTTTTCGCCTGATCTTTTCATAGTTAATGCCTATCAACGAATGTGATGAGCGAGCAATTTCTCAGCTGTCTAAGTGAATTATGAAATATTTTAAAAGAATTCACATCAATTTGTGTCCAAACACCATCATACCTGTAAAATCTTTAATCTGTCTGGATTTCCAATTTTTCAACGGAACAACTTGTATAATATCAGTATTACAACTACTTTAATACTTTGTCGCATAACCTCTGGCGTCAATGACCGCTTGACATCGGCGTGGCATGGACTCGATGAGTTTGTCTATCTCTTCCTGTGGGATGTTCTCCCATGCTGTCTTCAGCTGAAGGAACTTTTCGTGCTCATTTCGAGCTCTGAGGCCTTTTACTTGATGCTAAAGTCTTTCCCATAGATGTTCGATAGGATTCAGATCGGGAGACTGCGACGGCCACGTCAGCAGAGGGACGTTGTTGTCGCGGAACCATTTGGTGAGCAGCTGCGATTTGTGGTTCGGGTCGTTGTCCTGTTGGAAAATGAAGCCACTGCGAGCAGCACTGGGAACAAACGGCCAGATAACAGCCTCCATGATATTAAGGTACATCTTCGCATCCATCTTACCCTCAATCCGATGAAGGGGACCAACTCCTTTGCCACAGAAGCTACCGTGGACCATCACCGAACCTCCACCACCCTTCACGGTCGGCAGCTGGTAACTCGGATGGTATCTGGTACCGACAGGACGTCGCACAAACTTGATTCCATCCGT